TCCTAAAAAGGTGGACCCACCCTTACATTTAAAACCCTAAAAACATGAATTGCACAACTGACTCAACATTATACTTTGTTAGTTTTACTAGATGTTGCGTATTAAATATATAAATTATACCATTAATGTGTTCAAAACTGTAAATAAGATGCAATACATTACATAATTAACAATAAATAGAACAAAAGTACAGTTCAAATGTTGTACCACTGATTTTAGTATCCTCTGCAAGCAGTACTGATTCCATTCTCCCTCAGCCACATCAAGACAGGAAGACCAACAAGAGAATAGGAGAAAGGAAGACAGTTGCTTGGAGAGGAACTGTTACCCAKATTTTATGACCACAATATTGTAAAGTTGGTTTTTCAGATTAAAGCTCTTTTAAGAACGTTTTGGGCTTCCTCTACTAGTTTTTTGACCTAGGGAGACTTGGTCCACCAAGTTAGACAAAGGGGTTTCCATGCCTTCTTGGCCAAACTACACAGGAAGCCCAAAGAGGGAAAGAAGAGCAAGCTCTTGATYTATGTGAAGTGACAGAAAGATCACATATACTTGACCTGTCCTTATAAGTTGTATTGTCCATGGCATTCTATTATTTTGGCTTTAAGCATTGAGACATTTTTTGCCTGTTGCTTAAGGAACTAAAGTTCAACAAATAAATAATCCAATATCACCCTACATCAAAATAAGATTGAATAAGSCAGCAAAGCGTCCATCATTAACAAGAATTGTTGGACGACCCYGAGACTTATGCTGTTTCATACATGATAAYACATTGTCTTGTTCCTCATGGCTGTGCTGAGCTTATTTATTGGTAATCCTGAGTAAACTCTTAAGTACTGATCAGGCTTCGATTACTAAGCATAGAGACTCATTATTCATCCCACGACAAGGAATCTAGAATCTGGAATCTGKAATTCGGATTCCAGACACTTGGAATCTGGAATGAATGGCAATGGAAAAGGAATCTGAAATCCAAATTAATTACTTCACTTTGCATTCTAAATCTAAAATGGAGTCATTCAGAATCCTTGCTAATTTTTTTCATGGGATCCACAATCAAGGAGCTTGGAATCTGGAATCCAGTAACACTCCAGATTCTGTGTCATGGGATGAAATTTTGATTCTTTGAAAAGTGACATTTAACATCGACTTAAAGCGAGCTGTATAAATGTGCTATTAACATGGTTTCACTAAACCCAAGTARAAAGATGTGTCTGTTCTCATTCACCTTCGGCTTCTTGCGGAAGGTCAATTGCAAGTGCTTGTACAATCCATGGATCGCATTTAGAACCCTCGCGAAACTCCTCCATGGTCAAACGACCATCCTCATTCTATAACAAGCGAAAATATCATTACACTGATGGCATATAAGCTACAATCATGGATGCCGAAAAACCTTATCTCATTTTCTCCTTTATTTTTTTCTCAGTTTTCTCCTTTTGCCCCCTTTCATAATTGTTGGGTCTTGTTTTGGATTGTCGTGTACTATGGTAACATGATCAATAACAACATTGCATATCATTCCTGATGCAACATAATACATTGTAAGAAATCAGAAATTTTCAATAAATATTTCTATGATGACAGACTGGCAGAATATGTCAGAATTTTTCTTTTTTCTTTTTGAATATGTCAGAATATTGATTCACTCGTAATTTGAAATAATGCAAAGTTTCTTACCTTATCCATTTGTTTGAATATCTTGTCGACTCTCTTTTGAGGCGTATCTTCATCTTGAGGGAGATCAATTATGTTGCCCTACAACGATCCAATTATTTACAATAGTATATTAATGATTATTATTAATAACTATTATAAATTATAAATTATTAATATAAATTATTGTTAATAATYAATAATAATTAATGATTAATAATAATTAATAATAATTAATGATTRTCAACTATTGCTGATGATAAATATTTACCATTAATCATTATCAGTTATCAATAATTATTAATATAATGATAAAAAAAATTGACTTTAATGCCCACAATAATCTTTTCAAGTTCTTACCACCATACAGTAGATAGCTTTCACGATACTTAACATCTCCTCTTTTGTAATAAACCCATCTCTATCAAGGTCATACAGTGAAAATGCCCCTTAAAAAAAGGAATGAAAATAAATGTCACGTTTTATCTGCTGTGCTTATGTGAATCATTTGCTCCCTTGTTTCTGTTTAAATTCAAGAATTAATGACGCAATAATGCCTAACGCACTATGATCAAAGGAATGGAAGGGGAGGGGAGGGAGGGGCAAACATAAGAAACAAAGATAAGTTAACAGGGGAAGTACAAAGAGTTGGGAGGGAGGGGTGGGGGTGGGGGGAGGGGGAGGGGGTGAGCAAGCCCTGGTATCTACCACCTACTATAAATAGTTTTGCAATCTACAATATTCCTCACATTCAAGTTTTTCATCCAGGCTTCCTCTTGAAGTGATYGACAAGGCTGTGATAAACTCCTTAAAACTTATGTGACCATCCTGTAAAATATTATATGAATAGATACATAAAATAATTTATCCACAGTGAACAGAAAATGGAATGTATGTCAGAGCATCATTTTTCATTGCCAATAAATATTAAAAATATAAAGCAATTATACCACACTTACAGCATTTTGATCAAATACTTTAAAGACAAACTCTGCAAATTTTGTTGGATCCCCAAAAGGGAAAAACTGTTGATAAATTCTTTGAAACTCCTAGAGGAACATAAAGAAAGATGATTATCACAACAAAAGAAAACAGACAAGTATAAAATGGGTACCCTGTGGCACATCCTGGTATTACCAGAAATATACCACAATAAGCCTCTTTAATGGGTCTTTTACACTATATTATTCTGAAAACCATGTACTAATATCATCTTTTTTTCGGTCTGGTATCCTAGTCATTCACGCTAGGCTGCGAGCAAAGTTGCATAAAATACAAATAAAAAGATAGAAATGATGTTTACTGGCTATAGGTCGGTCCGTGTAGGAAAACACTTCCTCTGTCTTTTATGTACGGACCTCACTGTGCTCGTTCTGTACTGTCAAGACCTCGGGCAGTGTTTTCCTATACGGACCTCCCAGCCGGCTAAATAACATATATATATATATATTCCTTTATTCAACACTCTATACAAATGCAAGAGATTATAAGAAAAGAAAACAATGAAAATAACACACCACAAGATTTTATCTCTGCATATTTTACACACAAATSACACTAACACATTGTAAAAAAAAGATTGTAAACCTCAACTGTTATCCACAATGAAAGATTCACATGATAATAGATTATTTGAAAACAGTTTTTCCTTTCTATGCATGAATAACAGTCAGAATTATGGTAACTGCAATTTTAATTACAATTTTTTTAAGTAGAAATAATCCCATGGGATTACACAAGAGTCTTGAGCTGTAACATGACATATAACCATTATAARTCTAAATCTATGAAAAAATATTTTTAACTACTACATGTCGTTGTATTACTTTTATAGCTTTAGAATTTTTAGGAAATGAGCAGATTAGGTTCGTGGGTGGTTGTGGATTATATAATTTCATTTAAGGTGTAAATTACATTATATCAATAAAAAGGACTTATGTGGTAACAGAGGTATTTTAATTTAATTAAAGATACTGGTTGATAAATCTATAGGATGTTGCTTTTTACAACGTTATGCTAACATTGCTAAGTAATGTAACTTATTATTTTAAATCAGTAGCAAGTAAAAACAGCACATAACTTAATAAATACATGACCATCAAGAACATATTCAAACTAGACGATCGGCGATCGTTTACATGGGCTTCCTGTGGTATCACAATCAGCAAACGAAGAAGTCATTGACAATAGTTTTATTGTGRTAATCGATGAATTGTATTATATTGAGCCCTAATAACGTCAATATTACTAAGACTAAAGCAAAAATATTTCTTTTAATAAAAAATAATAAAACAAGCAATGTACTTTATAGCATTAAGCATAATATTGTGAAAGAAGTAAGCATGTTTGACGAGACATTCCGCGTAAACACATAGTCTTTCATGTTCTTCGCTTGAAATACTTCCAATCATTTCATTTCCTCAGTATAACACTGTTGGGATTCCTTAGGTAGTCTTTTGTGATTGCAGAGCCGTATATAATTCGCTTAAATTCACGATAAATTCACGGTATCCCTACAAATGCCCTTTCGAAAAACGTTCGACATCATTTAGTGTTTCTATACCGCGAATGACACGTGGATTTGTAAGAGATTTGAGCGTATTTGTAGTAGCTAGATCCGTGATTTCTATCTCTAAACGATCCTTAAACTTTCCGAAATGAAGCACGAGGCAAGCTTAGAATCGGTTGCTTAGAAACATGAATGACAATAACACAATAGAAAAGGTCCCGGATATACCACTTTGAAGCATGTTGAAGGAAAGTCGTCGGTAATTTTAGACATGGTCTTCCACAGGAAGCCCATGTAATTAATTCTAAAAATGGATTGTGAGGTGTTAGAGATAAAGAGCAAACAGAATAGAATTTACATAAAAAAGAGGTTTTGTTTATTGATGCCTGTCAATATTCTGTAAGATATAATTATCTTAAACATTATTATCAGGAGAGTAAAATTTAATTGAATTCAAGAGATAGGTGCTTCTGYAGATAGCTAGGATTTTTCCATTGGATTAAGTCTTAAATCATTGAAAACCTTTTTATTGCATAATATAATGGAWCTTTCCACTTTTAGGCAAAGAATATACACAGTCCATTAACTTTGAAGCTTTATCTTGTCCTTATGAAAAAGTGAGACTTCTATAAGYTCAAAATTTGAATAACTTGTCATGGACTTGAAGTTTGAGCTCTAAATTTGTGTCTTGGAAATTGACTCAAATTGACTTGTATGACAAGCTTGATGTTTGGATTTAATAAAAAACTTCAAAGATAAAAAGCTTGCACTTGTATCTGAAGACACAGAGCTCATAGAGGCTCAAAACACACCATTCTCTACTAATAATATAATATAATCTATAATACATAATATATTGCCATGCTCATAAACAGCAGCTTCATCCTTTGTGATAAAATAAGCTAGGATTATATTGTCTCTATGGAAATAAAAAAAGGCCTAAAAAACTCTAATGAATATTAATACTGAATGATAACATCAGCACTTAGTACTCCTTGAAATCCTTGAAATGGGGTTCCCATTACATTTGTAAATTGGAGTGAGTTGGGCTGCAATTTTATTCATGAAAATTTTTCTCATCTTTTTTTCTCATCTCATCATTCTCATCMGCTGTTGTGAGCATGAATATATTTTTAAAATAACAAAACTTATAGCGAGGCAAGTCTGWTATGTCACAAAGATCTATTTGATGATTAGAATGTGGGCTAAAAACATTGCCTTGGTAATTGTGACTTACATTATTACATTAAGATCACATATACCTCAAAAAAGATTGCCTTAAAATATTAATACCTTCAGAACAATAGCCCCTTTTGTATATCATAATGCAAATTTGGCTGACTGCTGAGAGTAAGCTCTTAGATAGCCAGTTCTTGCAATTTTACCCTCTTCATAAGGAAATTATAATTATCTTTAGCGAAGGTGAATCTTAATTTATTTTTGAAATTGATATCTTTTTTGCTATGAATTGCTAAAATTGCACAGTAAACAATACAATGGTGTGAATTTTAACGTCATTAGAATGTACCAGAAAACTTGGAAGGTTGAACTAGAAGAAAAAACTATTYATATTTTTATAACAAAAATAATAATATTGGTAATTGCTTGAACCATGGAAAATTAATTGCTGTCAATTAGATCAGAAGAAGTTTCTTGACTTTCAAAATTTCTTGGGGTATTCAAAATACATATGCAAAAAAGATACAATTTTTCTATTTTTTTGTAAAAAAAAACTTAAACTCTTTTAACTCGAAACGAAATAGAAGAAATTGAGATTGTCGAGCTGAAACAATATCCTTGAATTGCGAATATTCGTATGAAATACAAACCCAACAGCCATGAAATTAGGTGGATTAAAAGGGATTTATTTCATTGTCTCTGACAAAAAATTGGAATTTTTCAAGTGGCTTTTTTTAGACTGCACTTAAATACGACCAAATGTTGACCTTGCAAGGACACATTGAATAACGCTAATTGAATAACAACGATAGACTGCAACCATCCAATTCCGATATTGAATTTGGTCTCAACGTCTAACTGCATAAATATACAGAACTAGTTTCAATGGTCGATTCCATTTGTAGGGGAATTAGGCGATGATGGATTTTCAGCATTTTCAGCGTTTTCAGCGCATTAAGTTAATAAATGTTTCGTAAAAAAGAAAAAATCCTGCAAAAACTGCTTGCATACAGAAGCACCTTGGGATCTTTTTATTGAATGTTTATAAAGCGCGTTTTCTAGTATTGAAAAATACAAGACCTCACACAAAGCTAACAATTTCTCACGTCGCGAACTCTTCCTTGAATGGRTTTGACCTTAGCTTTCGTTYCCACGAAATTTCAAATAATATAATTTTTGCAATAATATTTGAACTCACGTCTTGCCTGAGCTGTCCCGAAGGACAGTCTTTCATGAAATCCTTGTACCTATTAGGACAAGAGATAAGATTGAAATGAAGACGGACAAATGATGTAGCTTCACTAAAGCTGTAGTTTACCACAACTAATGTATCTCATTTGAAGTCAATTTGGAGAAGAAAAAGTTTAAAATCCAGACAATAATAAAACCCTCTCACACCAAACTTTGCACAATTTAAAAGTATCAAAGTGCCAACTACTTACCATTTTTGCAGTTCTTTTTTATCAACTGTCAAGGCAAGGAAAAGAATWTATTTAATAATGTCAAAAAACAAATACGGCGCTCACGCATCGTTGATAACTTCAACAATATGACAGCTGAATTTATGTCCTAAAACTTCTAAAAACTTACAGTATGTGCATTGTATAAGCTCTCGCGTCTCCTCGGGTGTCAGCTTGCAGCCTTTCTGACCCATTTTGTGTTGTATTAGCTATATTTTTAACGTAGTAAACGTCCTTCACTACCGACCGCCATTACGACGCTTCCCGTCGTTCTGTGTCACACGCACTAAGGCGATTTKGGATTGACTAGGGAGGGGAGGGCGCAAGGACTTTTTGTCTATAACAGGTGCTTTGGTATCAATTTATAGCGCTACAAGAAGCGCATTATTAATTTAGATTTGACTACTTGTTTCCAATATAATGACAAAAGAAAGAAACTTTCACGAGAAAGGAAGAAAAACTGTTTGCTTTCGCCTGTTGAGAGAGAGACTTGAAAGTGGTCAGTTTCAGCTGTCTTACAAAATTAACAGTTAATAGAAAATATGCTTTTCAATCTTTTTTTTCAAATTTTCAATTATTTCTTCTAAGTTGTTGTTTTTTTTCCAGTGGTCGGGGGTGGCTTTTCTTTATAAATAACCCCAGGTCTTCGTTCGCCCCCAGAAAACGTGATTGCGATTAATCATTGTTTTGGTCTTCAGTTTTCATTATTTAAACAACATATTTTTGTGGTTACGGACAAAATCGTCCATTATCTCCTTTTGTATGACTAGTGACGTCATTCTTCGCGTACCAACTTGGCGTTCTTTACCGGTTGCTAGGTCAAATCTAGATCATGATAGAGTTTTTTACGACCAATCTTAGACACATCGGCGTCCATTGCTCTTATTCAACACTGCAGGCGACAGATTGAATCATTTTAAACATGCTGAATGTCGAAAGTTGATAAAAGGACAAACGGCAGGGTGTTGAAATGTCGCATCTGACTGACAATTTCTGTCGTGATTTTGGTTGACAACCCCTTAGGCCTTTCAATTTGAATCAAACATTTCACAAGATTTGGTTAAATTAACAAAAAACGTAGTCTAAAAGCTCTTTTTTCACGTCAGCCCAAAATTTATTGGTGTCATTTTGAGGAATAAATACAAGGTATATACAATAAAATGAAATATTAAAAAAATGCTTACTTAAAAGTGAATAATTTTTTTGTTATCTGATTGTTGTTTTTGATAAATTGGACATATTTTYTTGAACTTGATTAACAGCTTTCTTGAACAGTCGTAAAAATTCATCAACGTCAAACTCATAATTTCTAAACTTTGGATGGTCGGTATACTCTGGATGGAGTTCCTATAAAACAGGAAGTGTATATAAAACAACGTACATGCAACTCTTGAAAGCATATGAGAATAATAAACACACCTTTGTTCTTTCAAACACTTTGGTTTCTTTTTCCCAGGTAATATACTTCAAACCT